AGAGATATATGAAGCCAGAGATATTCAGAACCGGAGATATTCAGACTGCTCTTTTAATTCCATAATGATTCCACACATCTTTACACGAAGAGTAGCTGTTGTACAAGGGAGAAAACTGAGACAAAGCCTGCATGCTATTTGATTTATCCTGACTTACTGATTGCTCAGCTACGTCAACAGTATACATGAAGGATGCTCAACCCCTGATCTACAGAGCCATATTATCTAGCCTGAGGTACTCTCCAAAGGTCCAGAAATTTGGTGGTGGAGGAGTCATTGTAGCATTAACTGATGCTCCCCTGCTGCTAGATTTCCAGAACCATGGTAAGCCTTGTTTGGGCTAGATAACGTGGCCCTGCATGCTAGATCGTGCTGGCACAGGGCTGGATCTAGTAGGCTAGCAGCAAGCAACTGGATAGGGGTGGCAGCTGGCTCAGGGCTGGATCAAGGTAATGAAAGGCATGCAGCTAGATCTAGTAGCAGATAGCGTACAATTGGAGTCATGAACCAAACCTGTGGCACTCATTCAGCCCACAGGGCCAAAAGGTTTGTTGTCATTGGTATACACCAAACCAAGGTGAAACCTGGACTCCTAAAAGCCAGAGCATGACAGGCCCTATAAGGTGCAAACCATGGAAAACAAGGTGGGGAAAAGGGTTTATACAGACACCATTCATGAAAGTTTAAAAGTCCCATTTTGTTTTCAAACTATTTTGAGGCCTGTCAGAGTTGAGAAGGACATTTGGCTCTAGAGTTGCTATAATAAGGTTGTTTTTTTAAGTCTCAAATGTGATACTAAAACTAAGGCAGCCCATTTTCTGAAAGCTGCTCTTTTCATTGCTGCATCAACATAATATTAGAGTAACTGAACTCTTCAACAATCAGGACATGATACAGTCTAAGCATTCAAAGGAGTACGGATAAAGAGTTGCTGAAATAGATCTCTGTTTCCAACATCATTTTTTCTGCACAAGCTGTAAAAGTAGAGCTTACCTGAACTCTCAGATAGTGGAACCCAAGGTAAATTTCTCAAGGAACAGTAAGTCACTGAACCTGGCAAAAAAAGTTTGTGCAGACAGACCCCTTGAAAACCCAAGCTCCAAAGAAACACGCTCCACCAAATCAACTAATGAAGGATATCCACCAGCAGAGGGCAGTATCTAGGAAAGCCAGCGGAATAAAGGCCAAGGAGGCAAGATCATTCTGTGCCTAGAGATAAAGAGAAACAGGCAGTGAGAACAAGATGAGTGTGAAGCAAGGGACAGAAGAATCAAGAAAGCAGTCCTAGTTTATTTGTTTGCTTTTTTAATCAGAGGGCACAAATATAAAACTGCAAAAGTATACATTCCTCTCTGCTTTCCTGCTGAAGCAGAGGGCTTGAATTAGTGTTCCACCCAATGCACAGAGTATTTTGTATCAGAGTAAAAGCTGACAATGCCACTTGGCCAGTATCAGTCATGACAAGTAAAGCTCTCTCCTATCAAAGACTGTCAGGGCAAGTGGCAGTGTTCCAAAGTAAGGTAAATCTAAGTCAACGAAGAGGTGGCAGCAACAAGCTGACTGCTGTGATAGCGCACCCATGCAGGAACACCCCTTACAGAGAGCAAGTAGACAGTATGGCATACATCTAGCAAGTGGGTCTTTTGTAACACTGGTGTCAAAGATCATATATTCTACTGTTAAGCACTAAACTAAACCAAAATTAAAATGGGACCCACCACCAGACAATAAGAAATCAGTCTTCTCTCATGTGTACGAATTAATTCAAGAGATAATCTGGCAAAGAAGATGACTTGTACTACCATACATACCAGCCATTGAATGTTTCCTACAGAAACTAGTTATACCATGCAATTTCTGAAAGGATATCCACAACGTTATACAGGCATCAATTACAGAGAGAGCCACATGTGCTATTGAAGCTATAGTACCATAGAAAAACTGAAAAGGTACCAAATAAGAGACTATGTCAAAATATACCATCCAAAGAGTTCAAATGGAGAGCAAAATCAAAACTGGAACATACTCCTGTCAACAGGCAAGTTTCAGAATGAAAAAAGCAGCAGTGCCACTGCCATACTGGTGCTGACCCTGTGAAGTCAGCAGCCTCAAAAAGGTGAGTCTAATAAAATCACAAAAAGACAAGTGCTAGTTAGGCTATTAAAAAGTGCACTTCCAAACATTTGCAAGAAGCATCGACTACCATTTGTCAGTGTTTTCAGTGTGTATATGTTTTTTGTCAATTCAGGAAAAATGTCTGCTTTTGCATATTTTAGTTACTAAAAACACATATTATTTAATGCAATTATTTCTAACTGTATTTTGGAGAGCAAAGGAAGCATTTGATTGGCAAATTATTTGGAGAATAAAGCTTCCATACCCCACCTCTATGATCTCCAGCTCAAAAGCCTAGAAATTTCATTCACCAAGTTTCCTTATTTTAAGTGGAGCCCAGGGATTCTGCACTACAAACTGCAGTCATAATAATTATATATAAGATCCATAAGTGCCACATTTACAGTGCACCAGAAAATTCAAGCACTGGTTACTGACCCCTGTAACTCTCAAGACACCTTCCATGCCAGAAAATAATAGATAGAGAGCTCCAGCCATAACCACTTTGTGAAGAGTGACTCCAAGACGAGGCCTGTAGGAAAAGCATAAAGGAAATATAAATTAAGTAAAAGAAAGCTCAAGAATGCACTTACTTAGTCTAGAATGGGGCAACAGGAACACAATTAAATGATTTTCTTCACAATTATTAAGAGAGCTAGGAAATGATTGTGTTGTGATGCTCTACATGCACTGTTACGTTTTGCCTAGGCTTTAATATAAAAGGTGTGATGTGCAAAGTGTTCATTCTTTTACCCTAATCAATACACTAATGAAAAAATGCAAAGTGTACTTAATGTACTAAACTGCTTAAACTTAAGATGTCACCTAGGCTTTTATCATTCTAAAATACAATTTTTCTCATCTTAACCAGCTGAATGTAACATGCCTAAACAATGTTTTGTTAGATAAAGCTAAATCCTAATCTAAACAAAGCTTTATAAGCAAGTCTTAGTTCTGGTGAAGACTCTTTCCACCAGGTGTAGGAACTGAAGAAAAGCAGTCCTTTTGCTATGGTGCTTGATGTAAGCATTGCCAGCAAAACATCTCTTGGTGGCAGTACAGCTCATAATTAACACTACTATTTACATGGGAGAGAAAATAGCCCCATCTTAGGGAAGGATATATTCACAGGAAGAATGATTTAACTCCTGACATTAAACATAATTTTTCCCCTCTATTCAAAGTAGATACCGATATCAAACTGTTACTGTGATTTAACTGCAAACTCCTATTCAGCAGCCTCAATGATGCAGAGGTTCTCAAACTTAGTGATACCATAACCCCAAGCACTGAATGGCAGCGGCAGGGGACAGGGAGCTCACACACAGCAGCTGCTGCCACCATCCACTACTCTGTGCCACCGCCATGTGCTGCTTCCCCACATGTACCCCATGGAAAGTTTTCAGCCTCCTTTTAAGTTGTTTGCGACCCCCCAGGGGATCACAACCCATAGTTTGAGAACCCCTGCCTTATACAATCAGGTCCTGCCTACCAGATGAAAATAAACCTTAAAAATTTTCAAATTTCTACTCTAGTCAAATAGCTTGGGGGAAAAAAAACAATTTTCTATTACACTTTTGTACAGCTGTTTAAACTTTTTCTCTCATTATGCCTTAAGTTAGCATTCTCCAAGCTCTTTTGAGTTTATGCTATTCCTTTCTGCAAATGATCTGCTTTGTCTTTTATTTCTATTTCTTTAGTCTCCCGTGACCATTTGCAGCACTTCTGTCCAACTTCAGGACACAGACACGTCAATATGCCACATATGAATCAGAACAGAGCAGCTGAGTTGCCAAACATTTCATCTTTGTAAACACAAAGAAACACATGAGAGCAGAAGCACAGGTTCACTGCAGGTACAAAGGTGTGCCTATTCCATACTGTTCCAAATAGGATCTAGGCCGCAATAAGGAGCTCACAGCTGTCAATTTTCCCTAACCTGTTCATACTTCAAGTGCAAACAGTGGTTTTCTATGCGGCAATGGAAAGCACCAGTTTGCTTAATGGTCTTTGAATGATCTTCAAATCATTTAACAAATTTAAAAGATAAATGGGTAATTTCTGCCATGCAGATAAGAGTCCATTACTCACTTGACTATCCCATATCCCAGGCTCACTATGATGACCAGAGTCCGAGCCAGTGAACGTTTCACAGCAGAAAGCAGTTCTGCAAGTATCAGCGCTCCTTGGACTATCAAAAACAAAATACAGGAAACTAATTTACATACATGTAATTTGGTTTTAAATAATACACAGCGGCAATAGCAATACTACAGTAGCCAAGATTATTTCCTGAAATCCAGGAAAGTGAAGTTTTCAATGCTTTCATTATCCCCTACTGGAACAAATTTCCAGGAAGTGCCAAATACTTCACTCAGCATTAAACAAGATGATGGGAAATTTATCTTCAAAAACGGTGAGCTACTCAGTCCAAAATACCTTGGATTATGCCAGACCAGCCTCTTTGCTGGAACAGTGCATCCTTCAGCAAAGAGACAACCTGAAAAATGTTATTTTAGTCCCTTGCCTTACCTCAGAGTACACAAGTTGTCAAACTTGGTTTCTACTTCCAGCTGTGTCAAGATTGTTAGCTATTAAATTTACCATGCTTCCCCATTCCTTCCTACAGCTACCAAAGTTACAGCCCATGGCCATCTGCTGGATACTAATGCCAGCCAATAAGATCCTTGCTGCTACAGAATTGGGTGGTTTCTTATTGATTCATTATGATCTTACTAGTTTCACTTACTTGAATCCTCCTTTATAATCTTCTGGGGCATCCTGTGCTAATCCATCTAAAGCCAATTTACCAGTGAACAGCTATGGTAGCAAGTTTTGGTTGTTACCAGCTAGTATGTATCAAATGAGTACAAAACAGACAACATAACTCTCCAACCCAGCTACAGTCACTGTACTTTGCTGAAAATGGGCCTACTATTCATTCTCCTACATCTAGATACAGCATTTGAAACTACTATGGTACTGTCCCACTACCACCTTTCTAAGCTGTCCTTGCTACATACCAGATTCTCCCTTGTAACGGATATTCTGAAATTCTGCATAAAAGACTGCTTTCTCCAGCATTCCCAGGAAGATGACGGCACCAATCCAGAACTGGATCCTGAGGAGGTCCTGCCAGTAACAGGCTGACCATGCAAGCCAGAGAACTCCAAAGAACACATATACGATACACATCACCATAAAAAACTATCATATCAGGAGGGAAGCAAGGGAAAAACAAAAATCAATAGGATGGTTAGATCCAACAGTATTTTCATATAAGAATAGCATGGCTTTAATATTGCTATATTTTCCTAGTATATATTTGATATATATATCAGTACATCAAACTAATGTGGAAAGGAGAGGGAGTCAAAAACTTTACTTCTCTTCTCATCTTGGTGTTCTGTAAAATTTTGAGGCTTAATATACTTTATCATTGCCAGCAAAAAGAATCAGTATTACTGAGTTTGTAAGTGATTTCACTCTTGTATAAGAGAAGCTTGCCAATTTCTTCTGAGTTTATTGATCCATTCGATTTATTCCTTTGGAGGAAAATTCAGAAAACTCAGATAAGAGTTTGGACTTGTCCAAATCATCCCATAACACCAAGAAATAGTGTCCCTTGGTATGAATATGTTTTTGTGGTTGTGAACTTTGTTATCTTTATGGTAATTTCCATATATTTTCCTGAATATCTGGAAAGACTGCCTGAAGAGCCAGGGTTACCATGCCAAGAGGGGGGGGAAAAAAACCCAAAAAAACAACCCAACAACATGAACTTGAGGGGTTGCAACCACCTCAACCCCAATAAAGATATGACTGGCTTTCCATTACAGGTCATTTCCCTGAGCCCTAAAAGTTGAATTTTAGTACACAGTTTTCAAACAAAGTCAAGGTAATTTAAAAAGGGGGGGGGTTGAGATAAGGGACCCTAGGAAGAAACCCAGAAATTAAATCATAAAAGACTGCTCAAACTAGCACTGTATCATGTTTTGAGCTTATCATGATCTTCCCCTACACTGTGCAGAAATAAACTTGACACGTCACAAAACACATTTAATATGTTATTCAGTGACAAATTAGAAACCCTAACAGCCTATAACAACACAATACATTTCCAAAAGAGCATTGAAGCTATGTGCACAAGAATGATGAGGGTGAAAAGAAAGGAGAAATACACAAGATGAATAACAATTTGATATGCAATCAGCTTTACAGGGGGATATCATACAAACAAATGTGCAGTCTCCCATTACAGAAAATAGGCTTTTAAAACAAGAACACTGCAAACCTAACTGGGCAGTGCCCTGAAAGCTCCACAATCTTAACACACTTCTTTTCCAGGATAGAATTTCTCTTCCATAAAAATCCTATTTGTGGGTTACTCATGCAATTCAAACAAAAGGCCCTAGATACTACAACCTGGGATGAATCCTTCCAGATCGGATTAACTCTAGACTCAGGGGCCCTTTTCCTGAATCTGTATATTTTAACATTCAGATATGTGAATGGAGTCTCTAGACATAAGGCTGGATACCTTCTACTGCTGAAAGCAAACCACATAGTATCTCAGTTTCTTACTGAAATGCTACAGCTTACCCCTGGTAGCAGAGCTCACTCTAGCAAATGCAATTAGGATAAAGACTGTACTTCCTGTCAGCCTTTGCTTGTGGCTTCTATAATTGCATGAACATTTCGCAAAACTCTTGTCATGTCCTTTAGTCAGCAGGAGAGCATTTCATCTCCTGGAGAGAAACAGCTAAAGATAGTATTAAAAAAAAAGACTTGCTGACTCGAAGGAATTACAGTATGTCATTTAAAAGCTTGATTATCATACTTCAGTGCCCATGAAGATCCATAGAAGAGTGGCTGGTTCAAAAGAGCAGAGAAAGCAATGATACACAAAAGAAGGGCAACAGATAAACACAGTAAGTTTTCCCCAAAGATGAACTAAGAAGGCAGTGAGAGATTTAAGAATTTCAGTTCATGAGTGAGTAACTGCGTAATGATACCGATATCCTCTGGCATAACAAGTCCACAGCAATGTTATATCGTTCAGACAAAAAATTATCTGAATTTTGTAATGGAGGAAAAAGGCATTAATAGATTTAATATCAGGAATGCTGCTAAAAGCGTGTTCGATTTTTTTTGAGCCAATATGCAAGTCACTGTATGACAATGCTGTTTAATAGTTCTTACACTAAGTTTTGTGTCAATTCTGTGGATGAACTCAAAAAATTCAGTTTTACTTACGATCATGAGAGGATAGTCTGCAAGAGAGAGGTATTCATATGGACCTTGCAGCTCCACTGTCACTGTCAAAACACAATCCAATAGCTGATTTGGATGGGAATGAAAAAGCAAAAAAAAATCACAGCAGACACCTAATTCTGACTTCACCACTTAAACAAGATAATCCTAAATCCCTACACAGTGTAATAACTCTTATATCTAACCTGCACTTTTATCAAGAAAAAAATTAAACCTTGGGTAAAATATTCAAAAGCAAGCATGCAATTAAAATGGTATTCCTCATTATACAGCAGCCCTTGGCAGTGTACAAACTAATTTGTGCTAAAGACTCTATGCATAATAAGGCAAGTTCAAGACTGCATTTAAGCCTGTACTTTGAATTTCCATCTTCTTCCTAATTGCCAATGCAGTGTATCCATTATTGCAAACACCATATTAACCAGTAACAATTTAATTTAAAATACCAAATTTCCATTAATGTATTTCTCAAAAGGTTGGACAGCATTCCAAAATAGTGTTAGTTACAATGACAAGGTGTTAATCTTGATTTTTGCAACACCATACACCACTTGAGGCCAGGGTACCTAAGAGGGTCACTCATTCTATAGGGTGTTCTCAACTATATACCTGTATGTAGACAAGATCCTCAAATTAATTGCCTAAATCTCCTGTTCATTTCCACCATTAACCTGATCATGCTCAAAACTGCTAATCTTCACAACCCTGTGAAAAGGGTCATCTGTTTTATTAGGATGAAGGAAACTCTAGTGTGGCATGTTTAATTCTCAATCATGTGAGAGATGGAGGTCTTATCAGCCGACAGGACCACAATCTCCACATTACAAAATTACACCTTATGTCTGATAGTACTCAATAAATCCATTCTTTTCTTTCTGAAATTGCCATATATAACTTACTTGTAAAGAGTTTCTCTTCAGGATTAGATGAGGGTGTACTTTTCTCCATCCTCTTAATTTTTGTACTAGACTCTTTCGAGGCCATAATCCCAATTTGCACAATAAAGATATATGGCCCATCTCGCCACGTTTTGATCAAAGCATTCCTTGCCTAAAAATGAAATGCACAGATATAGACAGAGGACAATACAGAGCAAATCAGATCAGTGCAACAGTAAACACTTCTAGTGAGACTCCAGAAAATATTCTGACCAAACACTATGTTCATATCTAAAGCAAACACTCATAGATTCATAGACTGTAGAGTCGGAAGGGACCCTGAAGGATCATCATGTATGACCCCCTGCCCCAGGCAGGAAAAGGACCAAGGTCAGATGACCCCAGTCAGGTGCCTATTTGCCTCCTTTTCAAGACCTCCACGTTAGGTGATAGTACCACCTCTCTTGGCAGCCCGTCCCAGATTCTGGCCACCCTTACCGTCAAAAATTTCTTCCTAATGTCTAACCTGAATCTACTCTCCACTAGTTTGTACCCATTATTGCAAGTTACTCCTAGGGATGCTCTGGTAAATAGCACATCTCCAACTCTCTGTTGTCCTCCCTTGATAAACTTATAGGCTGCTACAAGATCTCCCCTCAGATGTCTCTTGTGAAGGCTGAAGAGATCCATATCTCTCAACCTCCCCTCGTAGGGTTTTGTATGGAGGCCACTAAATCACACAAGTGGCCCTCCTCTGGACCTTCTCCAGATTCTCCACATCCCTCTTGAAGTGCGGCGCCCAGAACTGGTTACAGTACTCCAACTGCAGCCTGACTAGTGCCGTGTAGATGGGGAGCATCACCTCCCTTGCTCTGTTGGTCATGCATCAGCTAATGCATGATAAGGTGCAATTGGCTTTGTTGATGTCTTTGTTACACTGTCTTATTAGCAATAAGAATGACCTACTTAGAAATAAGAAAGTTGAAAGACAGGATATGGGTAACAGAGTAACAGGGGACAGCTGCTATGAAGGGGTTACTGGCAGGAACCTGTCCCATAACCATACATGGAACCTTGTTAATCATATGGGTAAAAAAGATGTCACACGTAACAAATAGCCAAAGAAGAAGCTTAACACTTTGGAAGCCAGAGAAGCAAACAACACCCGGCTACTGCGGTTGCAACCCTTGATGCCATGACAATACCTGGCCAACTGAGTCATTGTGCATCATTTGGAAGGCCCAAGTAAGAATACCTTTATATATTGTTTCAGAGTTTCGATATTG